AACTGATGTGGCACATAATATGATATGGCAGTCCATGTCACTTGCGAACTCATATATTTTAACTTCTTGAATTTTTTATTTTTTAATCAACTTAATTTTCTAATTTAGGCGAGTCCCGCAACGCCTTCTTTCATCACCGCAGCAACACCGTCGCCGCTGCTATTATATAGTGTCACCATCACGGTGCCGCACCACCAGTCAGTCCCATCGTCAATCTTGAACCCAACCGTTCATAATCCATTGACTGTTACTATGACGATGCGATTCAATCTGCTCATCATAATTCCGCTGATGGGTTGAATCCACTGTGTTGTTGATTCGTTGTTAAATTATTGATAGATGAATAACAAGAGTAAAAGTTCCCAAGGATATATCAACAAGTTTTTTTGTCAAGATGTATATGTCCAGCATCGTCAAAAACAATATAAGATAATCTCTCAAATCTTATATATTTATAAGAAAATCTCAGTGATGGGAAACAAAATGAAAAGATTCATCATAGATGGAGGAGGAAGTCAGTGGAATAATATCGCATCATCACTATGAACAAGAAGAGGAGATGTTGAGGCGGTGAAAGTTGGATTCAAGATTGGAGGTGGCGGTACCATGGTTTAGGGTTGCGGGCCCCGATAACTATTTTACTTAAATTACTGTCCTTAATAAAATGATTAAAAATTTATAATTTAATGCATGTAAAGTGCGATAACACATAGAAATTCTAAAGGCGAAGTCCGAGGGGCTAGCGGATAAACTAGTTGATGCTCGTATACAATACATGTATTAACCACTTAAACTACAATTCTCTTATTTAGAAATAGTTTTTTTAAGACAACAAATGGAAACTTCTCTTGCCTAATTGGAAATAAATTTCATACTTAGCTTAATATTTTTGGTAAATACCACGAGGTGTTATTCGATGGGTGAGATTAATCCCTACTCAAGATTCGGCTTGCCCCTAACCACAAAGTGCTACATAACTTAATATTTTGTTAACCTTTTAGTATCACATTTCAAAGTGTTTTTTTTATAATAATTTTCGTAATTAAATAACACTGTGAACTTTCTTTTATAAAATTTGAACCCAACACCTATTTGAGCGAAGTGAGTCTCAATATCATCTTTTCTTTTTCATAACTAAAGGAATAAACAAAATATTTGTAGTAAAAAGATTTGGATCTTTTATGTGGGAAATGATGAATCGAATTTAAATACTCTTTGAATAAAATAAAAAGAAACATCAATAGACTAACAACCAATTGGTAATAAAAGATTTCGATTAAAAAAGTCAGAGAAAATACATATTTGGGATTTGGGATGTGTTGTGTTATATAGAGAACTTCCAACTTGTAGTATTTCTTTTGGTGTCTTGAATAGTGTGTTTCATTTGTATATATATGTTCCTGCAGGTGCTCCCGAAATTTATAAACTAATAAAATGGTGACGTGGGGCTGTTGGTACCAACTAAGGTCCATGTGAGCTAAAGATTAAAGGAATCAACTCAGTCTGCTACGTTTCACGCCATGGGCATATTCAATGAAACTTCAGATAGAATGAGCATGCCATATCCACCTTCTATGAAGCCTTAATGTAAACATCAAGTATTGTCAAAGATGTGTAACACATTTTGAGTTCTATACTACATATATAGGTTCGGATCATAGAATGGCGTTATGGGATGAATTCCACTACACTAATGATAAGCGTAGTGTTTTATTAACTGGTTAGATCTTGAGCGCTCATGTATAAAATAATATAGTGGATTTTCAATAAAAGTAAGATATTTGCACCTATGATCAATCCGAAAAATGTCTTTAAATTTGAATATCGTTTAATTTGCGGATAATAAAAAATAAAAAATAAAGACGAAGACGAAGATGACGAAGACAGTGATGTATATAGGACATCTCAATCCATAATTTCATCCTCAAATTATCATCTTAAGTTGAGGATGCATAAACTATTGATTGGGAAAGGATTATGATTGCTTGTGGTTGACAGCGGTATATCTCTCACTCACAAGTCAAAAATATTGTGCCTCTCTTGCCTTACTTCGTGAAATCACCAAACATCAGCATGAATAATATTCATTAATATAAAACTCAGCTTAGGATATGTCAAATTCTCATCTCAACACTTCCCTATGATAGTGCTAGATTTCTTTAGATTTACAGACACCTCAAACCACCACATTTCAAGGCCCTCCTCTCTCTCTCTCTCTCTCTCTGTCTCTCTCTCCTCTCTCGCTCTCTCTCCTACACCCAGCACAGCTCACCCAATATCTTACGCCACCGTTTCAAGCTTTTTGCTTGAAGAATCAGAAAGAGTTTTCAGCGTTCAGAGGAACTGAGGAAGTAACAGTAACGAAACCAAAGAGCGAGTCTTTAGCTCTATGCACAAGCATTGAAGTCTTGAGAACCAAACCCACCACCAAACAAACTTTCACGAAACTCAGGAAAAACCAAAAGGGCTAAAAGAGAAAACACAACTCAAAAGCACCCATCAGAAAATGAGCTGTTTACTGAGCTTCAAAATCCAAACCAAAGTACACCATGTCCCCAAAAACTGAAGAAAAAGGGAAAAATCACACAGGAGCAGCACAGCACCACCACCACTTTTCTTTTTCGGTACACAGAAAATGTTTTCCTTTAGTTTGCCTACTTTAATTTTTGTGAGCAAAAAGTAGAGAGAGATTCATTGAGTTTTTGGGTTGCATAATTAACACTCACCTCACTCTCACTCACCACCTTGCACAGTAAAGCACGCTAAAACTGACACGCTGCTGCTTTTCTCTTGCTGCCCCCATAACGCGGACTCTCCTCTTATTAAATGACCCTAAAAATTAAACCCACAAGGCCATAACTTGGATAATGGATGCTATTTTTTCATCATGTGTTCATGTTCATGGTGATGGTCATGTTCAAAAGGTCATGGAAACACATTGGAATTGGGGGGCTAGTTACATATATCACTATATAATATCTGCTTGAACCTTTTGTTTTGCTACACAGCTAAGAAATGCATTGTCTTTTCTCTTTTGCTTAATTGGAAATAAATTTTCACACTTACCACAAGATTTGATATAGATTTTATACTTATTTTGGCATTACTATTTATTTTACCAGATCTTTTCTAGTTTACAGCAAAGGAACACTGGCTCTTTGCATTCCATCCAAAAATTTGAACTTGCAAGGGGTATTTTTTTCCTTTTCAAAAACCCTCCTTCAAACTCCTTATTTGGGACTAATTAGCAATTTAGCATATAATATGCATACGTACATATTTTTAAAACAGTAATGATACGGACACCAACTAGTTTATCAACATTTTAATACAAACTGATGTGGCACATAATATGATATGGCAGTCCATGTCCCTTGCGAACTCATATATTTTAACTTCTTGAATTTTTTATTTTTTAATCAACTTAATTTTCTAATTTAGGCGAGTCCCGCAACGCCTTCTTTCATCACCGCAGCAACACCGTCGCCGCTGCTATTATATAGTGTCACCATCACGGTGCCGCACCACCAGTCAGTCCCATCGTCAATCTTGAACCCAACCGTTCATAATCCATTGACTGTTACTATGACGATGCGATTCAATCTGCTCATCATAATTCCGCTGATGGGTTGAATCCACTGTGTTGTTGATTCGTTGTTAAATTATTGATAGATGAATAACAAGAGTAAAAGTTCCCAAGGATATATCAACAAGTTTTTTTGTCAAGATGTATATGTCCAGCATCGTCAAAAACAATATAAGATAATCTCTCAAATCTTATATATTTATAAGAAAATCTCAGTGATGGGAAACAAAATGAAAAGATTCATCATAGATGGAGGAGGAAGTCAGTGGAATAATATCGCATCATCACTATGAACAAGAAGAGGAGATGTTGAGGCGGTGAAAGTTGGATTCAAGATTGGAGGTGGCGGTACCATGGTTTAGGGTTGCGGGCCCCGATACCTATTTTACTTAAATTACTGTCCTTAATAAAATGATTAAAAATTTATAATTTAATGCATATAAAGTGCGATAACACATAAAAATTCTAAAGGCGAAGTCCGAGGGGCTAGCGGGTAAATTAGTTGGTGCTCGTATACAACACATGTATTAACCACTTAAACTACAATTCTCTTATTTAGAAATAGTTTTTTTAAGACAACAAATGGAAACTTCTCTTGCCTAATTGGAAATAAATTTCATACTTAGCTTAATATTTTTGGTAAATACCACGAGGTGTCATTCGATGGGTGAGATTAATCCCTACTCAAGATTCGGCTTGCCCCTAATCACAAAGTGCTACATAACTTAATATTTTGTTAACCTTTTAGTATCACATTTCAAAGTGTTTTTTTTATAATAATTTTCGTAATTAAATAACACTGCGAACTTTCTTTTATAAAATTTGAACCCAACACCTATTTGAGCGAAGTGAGTCTCAATATCATCTTTTCTTTTTCATAACTAAAGGAATAAACAAAATATTTGTAGTAAAAAGATTTGGATCTTTTATGTGGGAAATGATGATTCGAATTTAAATACTCTTTGAATCAAATAAAAAGAAACATCAATAGACTAACAACCAATTGGTAATAAAAGATTTCGATTAAAAAAGTCAGAGAAAATACATATTTGGGATTTGGGATGTGTTGTGTTATATAGAGAACTTCCAACTTGTAGTATTTCTTTTGGTGTCTTGAATAGTGTGTTTCATTTGTATATATATGTTCCTGCAGGTGCTCCCGAAATTTATAAACTAATAAAATGGTGACGTGGGGCTGTTGGTACCAACTAAGGTCCATGTGAGCTAAAGATTAAAGGAATCAACTCAGTCTGCTACGTTTCACGCCATGGGCATATTCAATGAAACTTCAGATAGAATGAGCATGCCATATCCACCTTCTATGAAGCCTTAATGTAAACATCAAGTATTGTCAAAGATGTGTAACACATTTTGAGTTCTATATTACATATATAGGTTCGGATCATAGGATGACGTTGTGGGATGAATTTCACTACACTAATGATAAGCGTAGTGTTTTATTAACTGGTTAGATCTTGAGCGCTCATGTATAAAATAATATAGTGGATTTTCAATAAAAGTAAGATATTTGCACCTATGATCAATCCGAAAAATGTCTTTAAATTTGAATATCGTTTAATTTGCGGATAATAAAAAATAAAAAATAAAGACGAAGACGAAGATGACGAAGACAGTGATGTATATAGGACATCTCAATCCATAATTTCATCCTCAAATTATCATCTTAAGTTGAGGATGCATAAACTATTGATTGGGAAAGGATTATGATTGCTTGTGGTTGACAGCGGTATATCTCTCACTCACAAGTCAAAAATATTGTGCCTCTCTTGCCTTACTTCGTGAAATCACCAAACATCAGCATGAATAATATTCATTAATATAAAACTCAGCTTAGGATATGTCAAATTCTCATCTCAACACTTCCCTATGATAGTGCTAGATTTCTTTAGATTTACAGACACCTCAAACCACCACATTTCAAGGCCCTCCTCTCTCTCTCTCTCTCTCTCTGTCTCTCTCTCCTCTCTCGCTCTCTCTCCTACACCCTCACTGCCTTGTTGGTATAATAATACTCATGGTGCTGACTGTTGTATCTTTACAAATACTATTTGCTATATAAAAAATTAGGGTTCCTTATCAAACACTTGATTCCCTGTTGCTTTAAGCTGGTTCAAGTTCAATCTGAATTCTCAATTGGTTTAGGGGGTTTGAATTTTCAGAAAGTCATCGTGTGGTGGGGGAGTTGTTCGATAAGGATATGTTAGTCAACAGCTTATCTTCACGCGAATGGTTTGCTATATGGTCCTACTCTCCTACCTAGATGCCCTAATGTGCAGCCATTATCAGAATTTGAATAGAATATGCATCACAAAGCTTGTGGTCATATGCTATAGTTTGAGAAAAGGGGCCCCCGATTGCCTACTTTGACCTCTAACATGACTTGGGCAGAGTTTGTTTGATATGCTTGTCTCCTTCATTTTGCAAATGCTTTTGATATGGCGAAAGATTACTTCCCCCGATTTCGTGTGGAGATGGGAGACCCCTAAAATTCAAGCAATAATCTTAGCATGATCTTTTAGATGCTTGTTGTCCTTTGCTAATGACAAGCAACTTTACTTGTGTCAGTGTGAGCAACTGATAGACGTTGATCGATGTAAAAGACATGTTATGAGATCAATATTAATCTCAATAATTGTTAATTCATTTACATGCATTCAAATTAATCAACACTTAATGCTTGATTAGGCGATCAATGTGAGTAATTGACATTGGTTAATACATCTTATTGTACCGTTCAAATTAATCAACAGTTTCTCGTCAATCATGTACGTTAGAAGAGAAAATAGAATAGTTGATGATGATTGACCGTGAGATATTGCACATCCATCAACGATTATCATTCACTCATGTACAAGTAGGCAGTTAGTATATAAAACTAACTAATCGTTCCAAAAATTTGAACTTGCAAGGGGTATTTTTTTCCTTTTCAAAAACCCTCCTTCAAACTCCTTATTTGGGACTAATTAGCAATTTAGCATATAATATGCATACGTACATATTTTTAAAACAGTAATGATACGGACACCAACTAGTTTATCAACATTTTAATACAAACTGATGTGGCACATAATATGATATGGCAGTCCATGTCACTTGCGAACTCATATATTTTAACTTCTTGAATTTTTTATTTTTTAATCAACTTAATTTTCTAATTTAGGCGAGTCCCGCAACGCCTTCTTTCATCACCGCAGCAACACCGTCGCCGCTGCTATTATATAGTGTCACCATCACGGTGCCGCATCACCAGTCAGTCCCATCGTCAATCTTGAACCCAACCGTTCATAATCCATTGACTGTTACTATGACGATGCGATTCAATCTGCTCATCATAATTCCGCTGATGGGTTGAATCCACTGTGTTGTTGATTCGTTGTTAAATTATTGATAGATGAATAACAAGAGTAAAAGTTCCCAAGGATATATCAACAAGTTTTTTTGTCAAGATGTATATGTCCAGCATCGTCAAAAACAATATAAGATAATCTCTCAAATCTTATATATTTATAAGAAAATCTCAGTGATGGGAAACAAAATGAAAAGATTCATCATAGATGGAGGAGGAAGTCAGTGGAATAATATCGCATCATCACTATGAACAAGAAGAGGAGATGTTGAGGCGGTGAAAGTTGGATTCAAGATTGGAGGTGGCGGTACCATGGTTTAGGGTTGCGGGCCCCGATACCTATTTTACTTAAATTACTGTCCTTAATAAAATGATTAAAAATTTATAATTTAATGCATGTAAAGTGCGATAACACATAGAAATTCTAAAGGCGAAGTCCGAGGGGCTAGCGGGTAAATTAGTTGGTGCTCGTATACAACACATGTATTAACCACTTAAACTACAATTCTCTTATTTAGAAATAGTTTTTTTAAGACAACAAATGGAAACTTCTCTTGCCTAATTGGAAATAAATTTCATACTTAGCTTAATATTTTTGGTAAATACCACGAGGTGTCATTCGATGGGTGAGATTAATCCCTACTCAAGATTCGGCTTGCCCCTAATCACAAAGTGCTACATAACTTAATATTTTGTTAACCTTTTAGTATCACATTTCAAAGTGTTTTTTTTATAATAATTTTCGTAATTAAATAACACTGCGAACTTTCTTTTATAAAATTTGAACCCAACA